GTGCATTAGTGTGTTTAGTCCACTCGGAGGCCTTCTAAGGCTGTTACCCCGCGTATTTATTATGTGCACTTCGTGTAACCGCGCGAAAACGGGGTCTAAAATGAAGAGATGTCTATCTACCCCTCCTCTCTTTCCCCCCCCCTATCTCTCCAGCTCCTTTCGACTTCTCTATCTTTTATTTCCTCTCTCCCTTTCTCTTTTTCTCTCTCGACATGCTGTTCTCTCTGTGCATGTTCTCCGCGGTGTAACGTGCACACGATCGTCCCAAGCCGGGTCGCGTGTGAGTGTATAATGTAGGTTGCTGGCACCTTGATGAAGGGTTCGCGTGACGAGTACCCTCTATCCGCCGGTATCCTGTCTCTCTCCTGACCTGCTCGTCCGCACCTCCTATTCCGTGCGGTTCACAGTCCACAGTTACCCACTTAAACGTTGGAAAAAAAACGCACAGCCGCGTCGACGACAACGACAACGACAACGACAACCGGCAACGCGACAGCGCCGTTTTCCTCGTACAACAAATTCGCTTTTCGCTACATGTCTACGAAACACGTCAAAAAAAAGTTATAACTCGACTCGCTCGAACGAATGTCTGATATAATTACAACGAAATGGAAAACAAATATTAGATTTAATGTCGTAAGAAACAGAAAACTGTCACCTTTGATAGATTTCAATGACATAATAAGTTCCACTTGATTATCCAATTTCTATATCTCCTTTCTCAATACCTTTAAATAAATTGGTGATCGTACAAATCTCTTTGATTCGCCGTTGAAAGATCTTCCTTTTTGTTTGGGCGACCTTTAGTAATGTTTATCGTTTAGTCAAATTTATACATAAGTTGTCCATTTTTCGAACAGGCAAATGACCGTGGAAAATGCAAAGGAAACGATAAATAAAGGAAAAGAGGACAGAACGTCCCAAAAAGTATCGGGTGCGAACGTGGGAAAAGAGAAACCCCGGGATGCTCGAGAAGAAACCAAAGGAGTTCTTCGGTCCCGGCACCCCGTAGGGCCAGACAATTCCACCTGATTGGTAGAATACGAATTCGTATTGTCACTCAGCAGACTGACGTTCAGCTCGCTCAGCTGGGATTTCGTGCTAAGTTGCTCGTGCTAACGACGCTATTCGTGCATCGCCAAGTTCTTGATATATCGATCGTCGTCGCCCGGCCGAGGACACGAAGAACAGCGGCACACCCTGTACTTACTCCGAATTTTTTTAAATAAAGCTCAGGATTTTATCGTATATCCAAGGACCGCCATCAACGAGGCAATTTTTTTACGTCTCCCGTACCTAGTATTCATTTGATGATCATTTAAATCTATAAGCCACATCTGCTAAAAATTCGCTTCGGCTTAATAAAAAGGTAAAAATGTTCGTCAATGTACCATAATCTATTATCTTTTATTGTTCAATTTCAAGGAAAATCTACCTAAGCGAGCAAAATTGAGGCAAAATCAATCTTCTAGACATCTCAAGGCCGTCCCTAACAAAAATACCTTTAAGATGTTTTTTTTTTAGAGGTCTTACATCTCGATTTTGGATTTTGCATTAGCCGAGTAAGGTATTTGTTGCCTTATTTGCGTATACATTTTCTTTTTACAATTTAATTACGATTCGATTTCCTTAATGGTTGCTCCAGGCAACATTGTGCATGAATTCTGAACTTGAGATATCGCCTTCCAACTTGCCGACGATGATAACGCGGCAACGTGTTCCCCCGGGACGACGTCTCAAGGCTGCACGGATTGCGGCGGGTTTATATTCTCAGGCGATCATCGCTCCACTCCGCTCGAGGCACTCGCGGCGTTTTGTAATTACGCGCCGTCCGTCTTATCCGAAATCATCCCGTACGTACGCGGCTTATCCAATTATCATCTGCTTTCCGCGCGCTGGCGTAAACACACACGCTTCGCGGGCGCTATAATGTATAGCAGTTCGCCCGATCGCCTTCTGAAGGTTCTGCCTGCTGGAAGGTGGCCCTCCCCCCCCCTCCCTCTCCCTCTCCCTCTCCCTCTCCCCCATACCCGACACCTTACATTCGACGACGATAATTACCCGGCTCCCCGAGAGCCGCTAAGTATTTCGTAATTAGAGGCCTGCCGGCTTATCCGAAATCGCACTCTCGATTACAAGCTCACGCGGCTTATCGATTATCATCTCTACCTCCTGCATAGCGCGCGCGTGAAGCCCTCTCCCCCCTCCCCCTCCTCCCCCACTCTCCTCTCCGCCCCTTCCTCTCTTCCGACTTGAACTGTTTCTCTACATGGCTCTGTCTTTTATCGGACGCCAAGACGGCGAGAAGCGTGTCACGTCAATCAGCCGTGACACGAGGATATCGTTCGTAAGTCGTATGCGTTACGTCGACGACTGGAGATCCGTGTGAGGAAATTACGTAGCTGTATATCCTGAAACCGCGATAACGATATTCGCGTGAGCGCCTCGTCGATCGGTGGAGCTCGCGATCGAAGAGCAATGACTAAGTCAAACAAGTCGGCGCGCAATTTATCCAACGCGCGCGGCTTTCTCCTCGCTCAACAACGTAATAGTACCGCGCGTGTCATATGTCACACATTGTTGCGCATACGGGGAGGAATCGTAGACGTTAATGGTGGAGTCGCGCGAGGCGGCTTATCCGGCGGCTTATCTAATATATCCGAGCGTGCTCTGGACAAACACGTGTGGCGTACACTCGACATTGATCACGCTCGGTAACACCTCAAGGTTGCGCTTTGGTAACAGCTACATTTCTACCGACAAACAGCCAACACGGTCCGGCGAGCCGCGGGGCGCCCGCAGGAGAAGTAAGAAAGTACACATTCATATAGAAAGAATTAAATCGCGTAATACCCTCGGATCGCATTGGTGGATTTATCAAGACGGCAATCTGAACGGTCGCTCGAGGCCGCGGAGCTTCAGGTTTCCCGATCTCGTAATTCCAATGCTTGACGAGCGTCTTAAACGAACATAAGCCAGAAAGATGAAATCTTTGAATAGGATGTTTCTTCTATCAGTGGAGCCTCTTCTTGAGCCTCTCAAATATGCGAGATATTTTGAGAAATATCGTATCCCGAAAGGTATTACAAATGGATTACGTAAAGTCGATCGGAGGCACCTGTTTACGCGATTTTTGAAGCGCGCTTCGTAATCGCGCATGGCGCGGCTTATCCGCAATCACATTCGCAGTTACAACCGCGTGGCTTATCGGATTATCATCTACTTTCTGCACCGCATAAATAAACCACTGGTACACATCGCATTATAGAGAGAGCGCACTACGCAAGGTCAAACGCTGGTTGCGTAAAATAAAAACGGTGTCCAGCGGAGCGAATGATTAATGCACTTTTAATTGTAATAAGAGTGCGCGAGTTAAATTGAATTAGATGAGATTTGCTCCGTAAAAATTAAGTTATAGAAACGACTAGGAGCGACAAGAGGAAACTTCATCGAATGGTTGGCTTTAGAATTACGATTGCCGTGATCGGAAGGGTAGGAGTCGGATATTGGCAAAAGTATCAGAAGTAATACTAAGAGATACATTGGAAAGAATATCAAACATTAATTTCCGCAGAAGTGATTATTAATTCAGTATATTAAGCTACAGACTCAAATCTCTAAATTAATGAACACACTCCGCTGCAAACGCACGTTCGAGGCGTTTTCTTTATCGTGACCAGGAATACACTTTCTGGCACTTATCGATAATAGTAACCAAAGCACGCATCCGGATTGCAAGCATCTCGGCGAGAGGGAAATACAACCTGATCTACTAGATGCGCGCGGTATTTCGCAATTAGCCTGGAAGCTTATCTCGATCGCAGTATCTCCGGGGAATTTCTAAAGACGCAATCGCGCGTTCCGCGGGTCCTCCGCCGATCGCGCGATCGCGCGAACTTCGGGCGATAATATTGCGCATCGGTCATCGCGGCAGCGCGGGCCTCGGACTTGTACACGCACACGCACACGCACACGCACACGCGCTTAGGATAGCCGATGGTTAATTCTCTCGATCAACCCTCGTGCCCGTGCGCACGAATATCTCATAATTTCCGACGTGGTCACGCATCTCGACCGCAGCTGCGCGGGGCCGGCCAAACTTTATTAGCATACCTATAAAAATGCGTGCGTCCGCGCGTAAACGGGCGCGATAAATTACGTCTCTGGAACTCCCTTAAATATCTCGTAAAACGTCAGTCAATGAAATCCATTAGTTCAGGTACGCTGACGTAGCTAGTCGCTGCTCGCTACCGACAACATCGACGTCCGGGAGTTCTTGCCCGCGCGTGTCTTTTCCCGCTATTTGCTCGCGAATTAAAATCGCTCGTTTCGACGTTGCGGTCTTTAAATACGGCCGATTAACGAGCACGTGAATATGAGTGCCCGCGAAGTCGCGTTACGATATCGTAAAGATAATTGCTGAGCGCCGTGGACGGCGAAGTTGTAAGAGCGAGACCCGGAGGACCTCTCCGTTCTGTCTGCATTAAAACTGCAATCTCTCTCGTCACAATCTCTCTGAGACTGATCTCATTAATTTACAAAAAAATATTTGAATATAAATTTTTTCGCAGATATATCGAAAGAATCATAAAGAAAATAAATGTAGAAATTGCTCAGTTGTAGAAATTGCGATCAATCTTACTAAAATACATAAAATTTTTAAAAATGGAAATTTTTGAAATGAATAAATTACATTTGACGTATATTTTTAATATCCTTGTAAAGCTACAAATATAATTAAAAATAAGAAAAAGATGCGTGGAAATAACAGTTTTGTTAAGGTATCTAAAAATTTGGTCAGATTTGAAAATAATTTGTTACATCAAATTTTTAGATACATAAAACATCCGTTGTCATCTTTCAAGCTTCGTTGTCATTTCCAGCAACAACTGACAAATTCGTGCCGAGCTGCCTAACTCGTGTCTCGTATCAAATTTCTCCGCACGTCAATGTATACCTTCTCTCAATATATTCTCGCATCCCCGCTGATCGACACTTACCGGCCAGTCTTCGTAATGATCATCTCCGTGCCGAGATCATTGAACTTGTCCCACAGCTCCTTGGTCTCGAGGTGGCACTCGATATCACGCAGCTCGTCAGAGTTGCAGCTGGTCCTCAGACGTTGCTGCTTCCTTTCATCCACGTTGCAACCGCTATCCACGTTGCACTTCCGCGAGGGCGTGCCGACCCCGGTCAAGTCATCAGCCAGCACCCCATGAACCGGACCGTCGTCGACACTGCTACACTCCTCCACGTCAACGTCCACCTCTTCGTCTTCCTCATTTGCGGATTTTTCGGTGCTCTCACTCTCGCCCTCGCAGTTCTCAGTCTCCTCGTCACCCAGGAGAGCCTCCTCCGTTACCACCGTCGCTGTCGCGACGATGTTTACCGGCGATTGAACTCCTGTAATAAAATGTAATTCTTTCTTTATCTTTTCGCATTTGACATATCGCTGACACACTTTGAAGCTTAATAATAAAAAATACGAGAGATCTATTAATATAGCTATTAATAAAATTATTCATCAAAAAAATTAAACGTAATTAATAGACGTTTGAAATTACTACTAACTTTACATAGAAGGATATTTCACAGGAAGACGATACGACATCGTCTTAACTGAGTTTCCTAGTTATTACTAAGAATATAGATCGCTCGCAAGAATGATTTTTCGTAACGGAACAGGAGTCTTGTCGTGAATAACGGAAATTTTGCCGCGAGCAAAACAGAGATCTTGCCACACAAACATCTCGTCACGGATCGATCGGAGATCTTGTCGCGAGCGTGACGAAATTTTGCACACGCAACAGAAGTATTACAGTCACCAAAATCGATAGCACACACACACACACACACACACACACACACACACACACACACACACACACACACACACACACACACACACACACACACACACACACAATTCACTTTCACATACGGAAGCGACGGATGGTAAATTGACATCTTGACATCGAAATTAAGTTCGATTTTGTTAACAAATCGGAAATCGAGAACAAAGGATTGATAATGTCTTGTAATGTATAATGATCGAAAATTCTTACTTGGTATAATACTGTGCGATATCTCCTGACCCATGTTAACTGAATTTAATGATTCATCACATTGAAACATGCGCTGAATCGTGAAATAACAAGACAGGTTAAACACAAATACAAATATCACCACTGTTTATTATAAACGTATATAACACATGTTTCAATATTATTTATATTTCAATGCTCATCGATACTGAAACAATGCGCAGTTTCCTAAATTCTACATTCGCGCACGTAGTCCTGAAATATAAAATTAGAAACACAAATACAAATAAGAGTGATATAATCAATACTGTAGAAGATTGTGATTAGAACGATGGAATTAAAACAATTTAGAAAATTCACGAAAAGATTTATATATAGGAAATAAAGAACTATCAATGAGGTGTCAATAAAAAAATATAATTATCACAGAGAAAGAAAGAGAGAGATAGTAGCCATCACCGGATAATAAAAAAATCTTAACTTCGAGCCCGATTGATTCCAAAAAGTTTTCCGATAACTTCTCCTGCATACAAAATTTGGATAACTAAATTTCTAAATAGTAGACAATTTTAATTTTTATCATAAGCATAATATCGATCACAAGTCTGTTTCAGATTAAAACTCTCGTCATGCGAATGATTCCGGCGAGATCGTGAGTGTCGATCGGGGCTTATTGGGCCGAGATTTATCGCAAAATAACGGCGCCAACGATCACGGTGTAAGAAGAAACGCGGAAACGAAATCCCCGAAGCATGCGCGCGATTATCGCGAACCGCGTCGATTTAAATGAGCGAGATGAGCCCGAACGATATTGGGGAGAGCCGCCGCCTGTTAATTAATCGACCAGGCTCCGCATCTGCCACAAGATGGTGGTCGGCGCCTAATTAAACCGTCAGATTTTCAAGAAAGCCGATCCACCGCCGGTGTGCCGGTGTGTACACAATGTTAATTGCGGCAGGCTCGCGATATCGATCTGTTAATTTGTACTATTCCGCGCGAACAATGCGTCTTCCGGCGCGCGTTTATCTCAAATTGGATCCGCCGGCCGCGTTGTTCGCAAGTGCGTTCACGCACGTGCGTGGTGTACGCGCGTACACCGGGAAAATTTATCGACGCGTTGTCGTCGGAAACGAGAAACGGCTGCCGCCGCGGTTTCACCTCTTCCGCGCAAACTGCCTGTCCACACGGAAAAAACTATTACGGCCTGTATTCTTATTTCCATTTAGCGCCGCATTTACCGCTTGATACGGCTGTCTGATACGAGAATTTATTCGCTTAATGTGAAAATCGTGTATCGGGAAGGTTGAGGAGAATCCGAGAAACCATATTTAATACTGATGAACGCGAGTCTTACTTTCCTAGCATCAAGATAGCATGCAATGTTAACGTAAAGTAAAACGCAATAAATATTTCTAAAGTATTTTCAAAAGAATAAAAAAGAGAGAGAGAGAGAGAGAGAGAGAGAGAGAGAAAAGAGACAGAGAGGAAGAAATAATTATCAGTACAAGTAGTATACCTGTCATATTTATCGTTTATAGATAGTTCCCTGGTAGAAACAGCCGAATACCCGAGAGTCTTTTCGTTTCCGGATTAACGGCTTAAGTTATCGAGCGCGTTTTATTTCTGCTTCGTTCAGAAATGAAAAATGAAGAAGTGAGCTTCTGCTTTTCAATGGGTAATGCTAATTGAACAGCTTCTGGCCAAAGGAGTCGCACTGCGTATCTCGCGTGGTTCACCAAGCCAGAAAGCACGGTGGTGATCGCTCGATCGCTCGATTGCAGACACTAATTCGACGCGTCGCTTCCAGTTCTCTTTCTGGCTTCTGGTCACCACGCTGACTTCATCTTTCCCTTCATCGCGCTCTCGAACGCACTCAAACCGGTTCCGCTAAATTTTCGACGATAATGGCGAAAACGATGATGACGACGACGACGACGACGACGACGACGATACGCATTTGACGGCGATTACATTTGCCGTTCGCACGTCATGCCGTTGCGCGCAAACCTAACAATTTGAATTCCATTTAGATGAAACCTAAAGTAGTCTTTCACAAGGTTTCGCCATCCGACTGCCGTCGGATTTCTTAATCGACTCGAGACGATCTTTTCTCACTACTTGAAATTCATAGAAAGCCATATATCTTTGATAAAGAACTTTATATCATCTTAATTTCAAAATACGAGAAACTTAGATTTTATCTTTTTAGACAATTTTTATATAGGATAGTCAAGTGAGGAAAAATACAGCGTTTTTAAAGTATAATTCATGAAAATTTACTACCAAAAGAGTTTTTACTACTCCAAGATATTAAAGTGTCTATTAAGAATTAATTAACTCTAACTTACATAACTCCAACGCGGAAGGCGTTTTTAAGTGCTACGTTGATTAATATCCATCTTCTAAGTAAAAACAATTAAGAAGCAAATAAACAGAACATTAACTTCACACGCATGAAATATTTGTGAAATGGGAGACGGGCACAAATTTCGCAAAATTCAAGAGATACCCAACCGCGCTAGCAGGGCCAGGAGGAGAAGCGCGCCGTAGTTACGCGCATCGCGTGCTGTTCGTGCGTTGCGTGCGTGCGCGTACATCTGCATGCACGCACGCACGCACGCACGCACGCATCCACGCACACACGCGGCTGGCTAATAATAATACGCTACGGAGACCACGTTCGCGTCGCGGCACGCGTGTCATGTCGTTCGCGATTTACGTGTAAAAAGGCGCGCGAATCAGCGAGCGAGCGAGCGAGCGAGCGAACACATACACACGTTTTTTTTAATACACGTTTTTATTTTTTTCCGCGATTTTTCGAAATGTTCCTCGATTTTCTCGTCGCCAAGTTATCCGATTCTGGTAGAAAGAAGTTCTCGCGCGAATGCGGGGAACAGCCGGTGGACGTGCGCTCGATAGGGGAAAAAAGAGCCCGGTGCGTTAAAATTAACACTTCGACACACGCGTCTCTCGCGTGAGCCGCGAATGCCGACCTTCCGCGACGTCACGCACGGCGAAATTGCCCGGATGTGCAACGCGTCTCGGCGTCGCTCGTTAATTTGCGAACAATCAACTGTCCGATTAAAAATCTTTGCTATTTCATAACGAACATACGTTTTCCGCCGTTCCGAGAAAGAGAGATAAATAAATAGACAGATAGATGACAAAAGTCAAGAAGATTGCATAGAACAGCAGCAAGTTGTGTCATAACTGCTGATTAATAATAATAAATAATTGTTAATAATAATAATAATAATTGTTATCAAGTCATAATAATAATAATAATAATAATAATTGTTTTCAAGAAAACAATTTGCACGCAATGCGTAGTGCAAAAGAAAATTTAGAAAAGTCCACGTTAGATTTATACAAATATATCCGATTTTTATTACACGCACTCAAGAAGAAGTTTTGCTGAAGTATTTAGAAATTTGGCCAGATACAGATTGAAAAACTTTGTAGGATCGTGAATTTTTTTATGGTTTACCGTAAGTGTTTGTAGCATGCATTTTTGAATGTAATCAAAATTGTTACAAATAACTTTTTCCTTTGACTTCTTCATTTCTCGAGCGTTAACAAGAATAAAAGGCAAATACAGACGTACTTTCGAGGTCGCATGAGGCATGCGGCGTGTGTTTCGCATGAAAACACGGGTCCCGATGGACTTAAAGCGTGCCTGAATCCCATATACAGGCACACGCTCGCATAAAGCGACACCATAGCGTAGGATGAATGCTCGACCGGAAGCTTTCCGGACAAATATACAGAAGGAGTTATACGGAGAGGACAAGAGAGAGAGAGAGAGAGATGAAGAGAGGAGGGGGGGGAGAAGAGGGATAGCCCGCACATTGTGTGTATGTGCATGTGCGCGCGCGCGCGCGTGTGTGTGTGTGTGAGAAGGTGGTCCCATGCTCCATGTGATCTTTTAAGACCAGAAGAAATATGACCGAGCTACTGACGTAAGCTTCCTTTTGCCGAGACCGACGACCGACCACCCAGAATCCTGTCACCACCCAGGCCCCGCTGCGAAGGACGTCCCCGTTCCGAGAGGATCGACGTATAAGCGCAATCCGACTGACGATCGCGTTACCGGAATCGCCAAGTTTTATCCAGGCCGGAAAAGAAAAACGTGCTCATCGCAGGTACGAGAGATCGGGTTCCGATCTCGGCACGGGCGAGGGATATCGATTTAGAAATCGAATAGGTGAATTTCGTGCAGCTACCTTGGGCGAGCCGAGCTGCTCTAATTTCGGTAATCTTCGGATGTGTGTAACGAATTCGATTAATCGTCTCGATCTATTTTCAGATGCCTAACTAGATCTACGACCTGATTGTCATAATTATTAGCGAATTATCGCC